CTGGATGGCCTACCTGCCTGTAAGCCTTCCATCTGTGCACAAACTTATCTCGTGCCCTCATTGGTCATGTGCACGTTCGTGTGTGTTGGAGGAGGGGCTCTGTAAGGAGGTGGCAGATTTGTTCGGGCTGTGTATTTTCAAATTCTAGCGATCTCGAGCTGGTTTCTCCAAAATTACCTACCCCACCTTTAAGTGACACTTTGAATGCAGGACCTTAACTTGTAATAAAGTATTTATAGACTGTTGTATTACTACTTGTAATTCTTGTGTGTAGACTACTTTACTCACATTAGATTGCTGCCCATTGTCTGGGAGTTTGGGTTAAGTTAATCTCTTTCTCAATCAAATACCTGATATGAACTTTTCATGCACTCTCAGTAGATGAAGAAAATCATCTAAATGATGCTGTATTTCCTAATCAATGTATTCCATCCCGTCTAAAAAAAAAAGGATTCCTCTATTACCACAGAAGATGAGTCAGCACTCTGCAGCCCAGTATGATTACTGTTCCCTCAGAGGTCAGAGCGTTGCCGAGCCTGGTGCTGAATATCAAGGACTAGATTAAGACTGTACAGATCAATAGAGCGATCTATACTGAGCAATGCATAGTCTCAGCCAAGGCTGCCAGACGTGAAGCTGCGCCTTGAGTGCCTTAGCCCAGCCTTCAGTGGATTAATACTGCAGTGATCCAATTGAGCATCTAGCTACAGAATAAAATGGACCAGTATGATTTCTTTAGTGAGGTTACTACAGAGCGGGTTATCTGAGATTAATGGTATATTGTCAATACCCAGTGTCTGCAGCGTAAGCTCTTTTGTCTTTTAATATGTTAAACTTTTTATCGATTACACATATTCATTGGCGAGAAGGAATGAGAAATGTCAATGTATCTTTTGTATGATACCCCTGAGATAATGGAAAGGTGCTAAGAGAAAATTATACAAAAAAGAATAAAAGAGAAAATCAATAGAGAAACTCATTATCATAAACAAATGTCTCTTTAAAGAACTGGTGTGTGTGGTAAAAGCATCCCTTCAGACCTGGCTAATAGCAGCATTACAATATTTGTAGAAAATGAAGTTCTGATACGTTTACAAGACATTGCATTTCATATTTGCCAACTTTGTAAGTAATGACATTAACTCCAAAATTAATCGTTATTGGGCACCAATACGACACCACTTCTTTTTACATTATCAAGCCTGTCAGGGCTAATGACTCTGGTTTGGTTATTGACACGGGTTACACCTTTTTGCTGCCATCACCATAGTGAATTGCTTCTTTGATAACAAGAATAATAAATGAACGATTATTAATCTGGTCATATTCCACATGAATTCAACCAGATGCTGAGAAAGAGAAAGGAAAAATCATTTATTTTCTCAGATAGATGCACTCTAACCAAAAAGTCTAAACAAGGTTGCTTGTTAACCAGAATAACATTCAGTATTTTTTCACAGTGCATGAGTTTTATAATTCCTTTCCGTATCTGGATTGTGGCCCGAACATGATCCACTATCTCAGAACCATTTGTCAGGTGAGGATCCTGCCAGCAGCGTCAGTCCTATAATCTCTGTCTGTGGTATACCTCTCCTTTATCCGGAGGCATCGATTTACTAAAGCCGCTGCGGCGACAAATCCCCTCTGAGATAATTCTCCACTTGAAGTTACTCAAAGCACAATCATGAACTTGCATATTCTTTGTGTACATAGTCCAAATGTGTTTTTGAGGATTAATAATGGCTGGATTACATTAATATCCATACATACATTTTCATACTCAGTCAGTGCTTCCTTCAAACAATAAACACATTTTAATGTTGAAAAAAAAGTTAATATACGTATAGTATAAAAATATCAATCATGAATTATTTGCCAATAATATATTATAGAAGAAAATATACAGATAGTGGAAAAAGATAATATGTTCAGTATCTGTAACACCATGTATTTTAAAATATATCGCTGGGATAACATTTACGAAAACATATTTTAAGAAGATGTGGCGACATGGATTGATAGCTGACCCTGCTTTTGTCTTACTGTTTGGTCAGTTTGACACAGGTCAACATACTCAAATTACTTACTTCCTACTGTTTGCGCTATCCAAATCACATTTCTGTAGAATTGGATTGTAGAAACCTCTGCATGATCTTTTCTCTGCATTTGAATGCGCCACAGTTTAGAGAGCATCATGCATACCTACTTGACAAGTTCTTCTCTTCTAAAAGGCCTCTCTCTCTCCCCTTTTATCTTCTCAAATCTCCTCTCTCACTCCCTCCGTCAATAGTGTCTCTCTTATACTCCTTACGCGTCCACTTACCTCTCTCTCTCTTTTCATGCTCTCACCTTCTCCCTCTGTGGTCATACTTGCAACATCAAGAGCATGGCTAAAGGCCTGTCATAATGAATTACCATGTCTCATCTGGACACCTTTAGAGTAAGGGCTCTATAGTTTTCTTTACTTTGTGAGAGAGTGTGTGTGTGTGTGTGTGTGTGTGTGTGTGTGTGTGTGTGTGTGTGTGTGTGTGTGTGTGTGTGTGTGTGTGTGTGTGTGTGTGTTCTTCACCAAAAGCCCCTCAAATTCCTGGGCCCTGCCACGGGTACTGGGAGCCTGTAAAGACTGCTGACATGAATAGGCAGAGTAGCTTGGTGTGTGTGTGTGTGTGTGTGTGTGTGTGTGTGTGTGTGTGTGTGTGTGTGTGTGTGTGTGTGTGTGTGTGTGTGTGTGTGTGTGTGTGTGTGTGTGTGTGTGTATGTGTGTGTGACGTGTATGTGTGTGTGTGTGTCTGTGTGGTTGTCTTACTCTGTGGAGGTCTTGGCCAGGGTGTCACAGGAGCTGTAGCTGACCCCAGAGAAGGCCTCTTTGCAGGGCAGAGTCCTCATTCCATCCATCCAGTCCCCCAGCGTCCCCATGGAGGGGACCTCTGAACTGCTCCTGTCCAGCAACAGGTTAGCCGGCCTGAGGGGACACGGGAGGAACATAACAACATTAATGAAGACTGAATACACACGTTTTTCCTTGGGTAATGACCTGTAAACGACTCAGACACATAGAATTAAGTTTATGCATTTCCAGGACCACAAAGGCCTCACCCACACCATCACTTGTTGTGGTAGGGATGTATTATGATCTCATTGGCATACAAGAAGCTCTCATCATGTCACCCCCAATGTACTAGCATACATTGTTAACATAGAAAAGTTCTCACTCATTTGTCACGCTATCTAAATGTCTAAATTCCACAAATGCCCTGCAGGATGTATCTGATCATACCGTTCATGCATACTGTCTTTTATAAATAAAGATGTCGTCACAGAAAACACGTTGGTTAGGATGAGGAGGAAATCATGGTTTGGGTTACATTTAAATGGTAATGGAAAAACGCAGGAGACGTGAAAAATAATTTAATTTTGGTTTCAGACAGGACACGGAGAGCTATCTCCTGAATTAAAGTCTGGTGTTTCAGCTACTACTCAAACACATCGATTTCTACACCGTGCAGACTTTGTGGCTCTTTATACTTCCTGGTTCACCATTTTATGAAATGCATATGAATTGATTTTGTGGGATACAAATGAATTACAGAGCACTATTTTTCGTAGGTAACGCTATGACCAGTGTTGAGAACAGCCTGTCCTGATTATATAGCATTGCAAAAGTTTTTATAATTGATTTAGAACAGGTTATATACACACTTTGACATGCATATTTACAATTATATACTCTCGGCTCTTGCATTCCTATACTATACCGAACTAAACGTAAGCCAGGCCTCTTGATCTGATTGAGCGGCACTCATCAGGGAGCCAGACACACACACACTCCTACACACACACACACACTCCTACACACTCCTACACACACACACACACACACACACACACACACACACACACACACACACACACACACACACACACACACACACACACACACACACACACACACACACACACACACACACACAGCCCATACAGTATGTGTCTGTTGCATACAGTAAATCTGCACAGAGCCTTTGGGCTTTAAATACAGGGGGGAAATCAGGCCGTTACACAAAAATATTTCCATAATGTATTTAACATATTCAAGAACAAGATTACTAACAAAAGCGGCATCAGTTTTCTGTCTAATGTCATTACCGGTTCCTGCTGTACATGTACCATGCTGCAAAACACAACATTAGATTTGATTAGATTTGATGGTTTGAATTGGATCAAATCAAATTAAATGCACCGCGTTGGGCTTTAGAGCGCTCGTTCAACAGCAGAGGGTGAAGGAATGGCTGCAGGCGCTGTTCTGACTCGCTCTGATTGATGGTTGCTGAAGACGGGGGGAAGAAGGACAAGTGAGGAAGAAAGACATGCAGAGAGGAAGAAGAGAGAGCGGAGAGGAAGCTGTCCATTCTCTAATGTCACCGCTGATGCTTTCTTTACAAGTGTGGATCACTTTGCTGTTGTGAAAACAGATCACATCAAAGTAGGACATGGGAAACCAGGTCAAACACATTAGGTCAAACTGGGACTAAAACACATTCATCGATATCCTTAAACATAGTGTGTGTTTATTACTGAATGTGTGAGTGGCTTTTAAAAGTTGCAAAGGCACTCTTTCTTTATAAGGACGTGCTGCACCTGTTTTGAACAAACACAAGGAAATAGAGCCTTGAGAACAGGGCAGAACAGGACAGGAGTTCTCCCACAGGGAATATTAT